GGTTATTTACAAAAATGAATCTGTCGACAGGTTTGGAATTTTATCTTTGAAACGCCACACTTTTCTTTGAAATCGCTTTATTAGTTCTCGTGCAATAAGCGTTTTTGTGAAGCTCTAAAAATTACAACTACAACATTTGAACATAGCCCCCATACCTTAAGGTAAGACGTATTCTACGTCAAAAAAAAATAATGATGCGAGTCAAGTACTGAATTTTAAAGCGCACCGTCAGAGTACGGATTTTTTTTGTAAGTTTGTTAGCAATTAATTAATTAAATTGAGTGTGATTTTTTAACAGGTTTCCTACCCTCAAACAATAACACTATTTTCGTGACACATGCTTTGGATTTTTTCTTGGCTCTATATCTAATTTGATATTGTTTGCATATACATAACAATATCTTAAAAGCACACCACACCCCATACGTTTTTAGGTTTAAAATAAAACAGGAAATAAAAAATAAACAGTAAACATTATTTTATTTTTACAATTCAGAAGTAAATACATATGTACATGTGTCTAAAACTAAATATTTTTTGTCAAGTACCTAGAAGCACGTACATGTTCGTTTGGCTGGTTGGTCGAAGTGCCGAGTTTAACAACTCCGATTGTCATGAATTCCAACGGTCCAGTGACCTGTGTAAACGGCAGTTAGTAGAGATAGATCTCTTTTGTTTAGTTTGATAAGAAATATATTGCGTTTTACGCAGTAGGTGGGCCACAGACTACTGCATACTCTGCAGGATTGGAGGTTCTTCCACCACCTACTATTCGTCACCTTTTTGCAGTGCTAAGATATGCGGCCCTAGATATAGATCAGAGCCACAACAACCTCCTCTGCCTCTATAAAATGCAGAGCCGACTCATTCCTGCCTAGCTCGTCAGCCATCTCGTTGCCATCAATTCTGCTGTGGCCCGCCACATAGATCAGTGAAACGACATGCCTGTCAGCTAAAGCCATAACCGTCTGCACTGCCTGACTATCCAAGAAAAGAACAATGCTGATTCTCGCTAGCTTCGAGGCTAAAATTATTTTGCCCGCCTCTTTGATGGTCAAGACCTCTGCCTGCAAAGCACTGGTAATTGACTAGACTCTTCGATTTGGAGGTCGGTTTAAAAAATTCCCGCCCCTTCGCCATAATCCATTTTCGAGCCGTCCGTAAAAATGGATAATTCACCCCGTTCAGTAAGAATTGCCTCCTTCCACTCCTTTGTTGATAGAAAAATCGTCCGAAAGTTTTTCTTGAAGAGAAGCAAAGGCCAAATGTGTTCGTTTCATAGCACGCCTAATCGCTCAACGAAATAAATTTGAATAACTTTTTCGTCTTCACTTCCAGGCGACAATAATGCCGCGACCGATAGGTAATCTGCCCTTGAAATTGTATATCATAGTTGGTGGCAATTTCAAAATGGAAGAGTAGCGGTGTTTTCTTCTTATTATTATTTGGCGCTCTAACCTAAGTGATTTGGCCTAAGTGATTTTGGCCGAGTTCAACAAAGCACACCAGCCGTTTCTCTTCTGTGCCAACTGACGCCAATTGGAAATGCAAAGTGAAGCCTTGTCCTTCTCCACTTGGTTCCGAGTTGAATACTTTTAGAGCTATAGCGTCGCTGTATTTTAATTCACTGTTCTCCACTATGTCCACGTCGCTGCAAAGCTCATACAGCTAATCGTTACATCGTCTGCGGTACTCGCCGTCTGCAATGCCTTAAGTCCCGTAAATCTTCCACAAAATCTTTCTCTCGAATACTCGAAGAGCCGCCTCATCGGAAGTTGTCATTGTCCATGCTTTTGCACCATAATCCAGCACGGGTATATATAGACTTATTTCAGTCGAAATACATGAAATGTCTTATCGAGGAGCGCAATGGCTCTGGTGGTTGAATAAATGGTGGTAATTTGAGATTAAATCCTGGATAGCTCAATCCTAGTGTCTCCGAATTAAGCTTTAACGCAAGGCATAATTGAAAAATCACGTCATACTCAGTGGTTCAGCACTAATATTGCCCTTGTCGTTACCAATACAAAGCTCGAATATGAGCGAGCCAAATTGACTTCAGCGTCACCTGGCGGGTGAAATTGTGAACCCAAGAGGTGTTCAGCAACCAACAAGAAAAATTAAAGTTTCAGTTCTCATGGGAGTTACCAGTCCCCCTTTTCCAATACCCCCAATTTTTCCATGATATCACATATATGTATATCCCTAATTTCCAGTACCCTACCATAAACACTTCCAGAGATATGCACTATGAAAAATTCGGTTTGAATGGAAGGTGCCGCGAGTTTTTTAACAGGAGGTGACCCTATAAATAATTTGACACCTGATTTTTGAAAATCGAACGAAGAACCAAACTTTTCAGGTTGGATTTACAGCGAAAGTATAAAACTTATCTAAAAAATAATGCATTTTTGAATTCAGCGTTCTCAAACTCACTGAGAAACAAATTTTCATTTAAATTCGTCCATAATTTTTGTCCACATTTAATGTGAAAGGGTAGCGTTGTGCGACGAGGAGGTGCCAAAGATGTGGCAATAATTATTGTAATCATTAAGGTTATGCAAGTTTTCCACGGTCAATATTAAATATTCGTATCGGCAACGACAACCATAATAAACGTGTAGGTCGCCTTTTACCTTTTATTTAATAAATATTAGATAATTCCACAAAAAAGACTCCAGTGCAGACTTAATATCAAAATTTAATAATACTGCCATAAAGTACACAATTTACAAAACATTAGCATAATTTGCATTTACACTAAGCAAACATTTTGTATAATAAAAAAGCACGTATAAAATCCATATCGGCGAGACTAACATATACATACATAATGGCGAACAACAAAAACAATAACTAAACAAATATTGAACCTATTAGTACGCGCCACTTAAATGCAACTTTGTGTCGTTGCTGGGCAATTTTGGCTTGCTGTTAGCCGCTGCTGTTGTCAGCCACCCAATGCATTCACTCCTCCCGTAATGTCAATTTGAAATTAAGTGGCGATTCTGGAATGTAGGTTGAATTAACTTTATACACTAGTTCGCCGGAATTGTATTCCACTTTATATTTTCGAAATATCTGCAAGTAAATGAAATAACACATATGTATGTATGGCATATGAGAAAATGTTAAAATGTATGTAAATATATTTATGTAGTGGTTTGTGTGCGTGTGTTTGACAACAATTTGGCAAAATTGCAATTTAGTTGGAAATTTTCATTTTGACATAAGTGGAACTTACACACTGCTATTTACGTACATATGTACAATTTGCTCATTTGTGCACTCTCATGGGTGTAAAGTACATCTCATATGCGATAATCACTCACCTTTGCCAACAGCATATTCAATTCGATCTCGGCAAAACGACGTCCCACACACATGCGACGACCATAGCCAAAAGGCAGGCTGACAAAAGGATGAATTTTTCGTCCGACATGTGGACATTGCGCACCTACGGAACGTAATGAAAGTGTATACATACCATGTGAATAGGTTACAACAAAAGCTCGGCATGCACACCCACACATACATAGTCATATACGCTCCAAAATTTGTGCGCGAAATTTTTTATTTTTATTTCCCTGCGAAAATTACAACTTTTTTGCCTTTTCTCGTTTCTGCTTACATTTCACATATTCTGTGTGTGTGTGTGTGTATGCGACTACTTTTTTCTGTGTCAATTGGAATTGACACATGCATTGGCATGCCATGGCGTGGCATGCAATTTAAAACAAAATGGCATGACAACTTACTCGTTTCGCTCTGCTTCATCCAACGTTCAGGCACAAATCGTTTCGGCTCTGGAAAATATGCGGGATCGTTGGACACTACCAGATGCGGGAATATGACATGTGTCTGCGAAAAATGAAAAGTGGTGGAAAAAGAGAAAACAAATGCATTTAAGTGATATTTAATTTATGGGCTTATGTACACATGTCCGGCGTTTGTAGGTGTTACGTACATACATACGTGCGTATGTATACATACATATGTTTCTACATATGTATGCATGTGAGTACATACATTCATATGTACGTGTGTACATGTCCATACATAGCATATGATTAGGGTTTAAAATTAGGTATTAAAAGTGTTGTTACTGTCTGATGCGTGTGGCGGCATAAAATTCGATAAAGATATAATTTCATTTTCAAAGTGATTGATTGATGTAATATCGTATCAAACGAATTAAGAAAACGTATGTATACTTCTTAACTGTTCTATTTTCTTTCGGCAAACATGTTGCCTGCTACTACATATCCTATCCTATCCTACAAATATTAAGGCAGTGCCACATGATGGGTACATTTGTATAGATTCGTACATTTCTTTAAATAAAGAAAATTGGGGCGACAATTATTTATTCTATAGTCACACGATTGGCATAATACAGCGAACTTCTATTGAACAATTTGAACGAATTGTTTTTCGTGGTTGGGTTAAAGAAAGATATTTGTGTATTCACACGATTGGGATACGATTTACACCAAATTTTGGGCAAATTCCCAACCGTGTAACACTGCCTTTATAAATGTGAAAGCTCGTGAG